AGCTACTATTTTATTATTTATTATACCACATATAATCATAGTATTTTCATTTAATATGTATGCATCCACATTCACAAATCTATCTCCTTTAAAAAAAATAAAAATAAAAATGACCTATAATTAAGTACTATGATTAAAGTCGATGTATCAAATTATCCCCTTAAATAAAAATTAGCCTATGATTAAATTTGATGTGGTACTGGTTCAGTTGCCTAACCAATATTTTAGCAAAATATTGTGTATCAGTTCTAAACACAATCCTTTTTAAAGACGATTATATTATAAAACATGTAAAACAATTTTTGCACAAATAAATGGAGTTATATATTATCAATACAAAATAAAAACATATTTTTTATATACCATGCGCGAGACTTTGTTTAATGTGTGTGTCTATATTCTGAAAAGGACGGGTGCCAACCTTGAGAGACAAGCCATGTATATTTATTCCCACACAAATTTTCTTGCTTTTTGATAAAACATTTTTTTGATTAATTAATTAAATGTATCATGAAACCTTTTNTAAGTGTTGGCAATTGTCAACCTTGCATCGTCTTCATTTCAACCTTTGATGTGGACTTCAATTTCTCACAATTGGTTGATGGATGATATTTTTCTTGATGAACTCAAATATTGATGATTTACTTCAAACATATTTTCAAATTAATATATCTCAATATAAACATAATTGAAGCCTTAATTTAAAGTATTTTTAATGTGTAATCTTTTATATTATTATAATATCAAATATGTTCGGAGAAAAATAGTCAAAAAATTTTAATTTAGTAATTGATGAATATTAAAAAACAACAAGATATGTATAGACCTGTAAAAAACACCAGTACTGAATAATCGATTATACGAGTAATCAAGTATAATGGTGATGAGATCTCAAAAACTTACTCCCTTTCACCTAATATGGTTTTCTACAACAATTTCCCGTTAATTGTTGATGTATTTCCACGAAATAGAGCAAAATTGACATTTCAAATTCTTGTAATATAAGATACAACAAGAGATTTAAAATAAATTTAAGTCAACTGGTTGATGTCATTGTGAACACGAACTTTCCTCATCAACCACACGAGACATTGAAAAGTGTGGGGATTAGAGAAAGGGGAATGGAAACTGGGATCTATAATTGGTTTCATGTTTGAAAAATCAGAAGCAAATAGGCCAAATAGAAAACAAAAATGCAAAAATTAGTATGAAAAAAAAAATAAAAATCCATATTTTAAGGTAAAAAAAACAATCGTAGTATTCAAAGCAATATAAGTTATATAACATTATAAAAATATTATTTTAAAGGACATTAGTTTTAACTAAAAATGTGACAATTTTTTTTTTGGTAAAAAAAAATGTGACATTTTTAATCAACTCATAACTTCGAATAGGTTGGAACCGGTTTCCTATTTTTCCTTTTTTTTCTTTTTGTTTTTTCTTTATAAAGTGGAATTTCAATATTTTAGTTTCAGAGTGTCCTTTCGGAAATTAACACATTTACATGCACGAGTTCGTATTTACACTTTGCATGCACGAGTTTATTGCATGACAATATTATTTGATAAGATTATTATAAACTAGCTACCTAATTAAAAATCTAATCAAATTAGTATACGTTGTACAGGAATATTACAGAGTAAATATAATAAAAAATGACCTGGAACAAGTTTTTTTCAGGTTAAAGATTACTCTTAAATGAAACACGTTTATCTTATCCCAATTCACATAGTGCACCTAAACAATGAAACTAACATTTAACATGTGAAAACACATAATCAATAGAAAAGAACAAGAAGATAAGCTGGTGATATAAATAACGAACCAAAAGGGGAAAAAATTAGACGTGATTGATATAAGCTAAAATTGGTAAGTATTTTTTATTTTTATTTTAGAAAAAAACAATAGAAATGAACCATAAATGTATATTTAAGAGAAAAAAACACTAGGTAGCATATTTCTAGCTGTCGATCTGTATCACTTAACATTTTTGTATTTTATATCAAATTAACTCTAATATTCATTTTATTTTTCTATCTTCATTCGTAATTTTTATATTTTTATTTTTATATTCATTTCTATCTCCATTTCGTCATTTTTTGTTTTATTTAATTCCAATGCTTTAAACTAATTAGTTGGGTGGTTTTTTCACTTTGGTTGATGTATAAACTATAAAGTGATCGTTGACTTTTTAAGAAATGTCAAAATAGAAGTTGGCAAGCAAGACAGCTTGACATAAGTTTATATAATAATAATAATAATAATAATAATAATAATAATAATAATAATAATAATAATTAACCAAACAATATGATCGATCTGAGCTTATCAAGGATAAAATCTCACTACAACAAAAAAGACTTCTAGCAACATAAATATGGGGACATTTTTTAATAAGTGTAATTAAATTGATGTGTTTGTGACGCTTTTTAAAAAGTGTTACAAAAATAAACATATAACAACATTTTTTTTTAAAATGTAATCAAATCATGTCACTTTTTAAAAAGTGTCACTATGTTAATCAGTATTGGGACATTTATTTAAAACTGTAATGAAATTATGACGTTTTATACAAAAGTGTCATCGTGTTTAGTTAATTATTTGGCCACACATTTTGAAAACCGTATTAAAATAATAACACATCTTTAGAAATGTCACAATTTTTACTAGTATGACAACATTTACCTCAAAGTGTAATTACGTTATGACACTTGTACAATTGCGTCGCCATTTTTAAACATTTAACAACACTTAAGAAAAGCGTAATGATTTAGTTAGTGACATTATTATACAAGTGTCACATTATTTTACAATATAGTGACGTTATTTTAAAAATGTTGTTGAACTATGACGCTTATACAAAAGTGTTTTTTA